CGTTCGCTCTATACAAATCACATGTAGTATAAAGGCAACAACAATAAATAAATAACAACAACATCACACACACACACACAAAATAAATAGTAGCAACAAGCACACCTGGCCATAGAATAGAATAACATACGCACAGCGCAGCACAGCACAGCACCAAACCATCCACAACAGCCCCGTCGGTTGCTTCTCAGTTGAGTTGAGTTGCGTTCTAGAGTTTTTGGTTATCATCATCAACAACAGCAGAGTAGCCGCATAGCCGCCGCCGCTGCTGCCGCTGCCGCCGCTGTTGTCGTCGTCGTCGTCGTCGCCGCTGTCGCCGTCGCCGTCGCAGCCAGCACACACATCACAAACCAACCACCAACACCACCACCATCATCACCACCGACGCAAACCCCCATAGCAGCAACAGCAACAACAACAATAATAACAGAAGCAGAAGCAGCAGCAACACACCGACACACACACACACACACACATACACACTCACCGAGGCACACTCACGTTCGCTTACTCACGAAAATTTCAATATCCAAATCAAAGTTGAGTTCAAATCGAAAACAGCCGCAATACCAGCAACAACGTCTAGCAAATAGCACGCGGATAATGAAAAACACACGCAGCATATCAAATAGTAAAAAATAAACGCCAAGTTACAAAATAAATAAATAAATAAATAAAATAAATATATCCGCAAAACGGCTGCATTCAAGAAAAAATAAATAAAATTAAATAAAACATCCAAAAAAATAAATAAATTGTATTTCAGTCGACTGTCAACGGAAAAAGAACTTAATAATAAACAAAATAAATAAATTGTTGAACATCCGCAAACATTTTCACACGGCTTCATTTCGGCACCACTCGAGTTTTTTTCACTTTTCACTTTTCGCGTGTGCTAATCAAATAGGATCGACAAATCCAAATCCAAAAACATCAGAAAACTTGAACTCTTAACTTCAACTGCAATTCAAAAGCTATAAGTGTATCGTTATTTTGTATCTTCTGACACTCAACAACAATAACAACAACAACAATCAACAACAACAACAACAAGATGTAAGCAAAAATTCATTAGGCAAAATTGCATCAAATATTTTGTGGTCGCAAAATATAAAATCTTTTAGCTGAAAAAGCGCACACAAAAATTATAAATAAACGCACATAATACTCGTATATACTCATATATAATAAAAAAAACCCAAAAAAATAATAAAAATACTACACAGACATGTGTACATCAAATAACAATAAAACGAATTGCTGGCAAAAGTTCGTTGCTCGCCGACTTGATTTTGATTCTTATTACCAGTCGAAGTTGCGGCCAGTAAGTCAGCAAAAGCAAACGTTCTAAACTGAACTTCAGCTTCAGCTCTCCAGCTCACAATATCGCTCAGTCAATGGGCAACAACTCGCCTCCGGTCGGTCGATCCGTCCGTCCAGCCGTATAGGCTTAACAAAACCAAAAAACAAAAAAAAAAAATACATAAAAAACCAAAGAAATTTCCAAGCCGGCAAAAAAAAAGAAGAAAAAAAAAACAAATAAAACTACAAGACGGTAGAGGGGCAGAGAAAGAGAGAGAGACTGACAAAATCAGAGCCGGAGTTGGACAGTGAGAAAGAAACACGTTTTTGTGTTTGCGGGCCAAAAAGCAAAACACAAAATACAAAGCGAACGTAAACCCAAAATAACAGGCAAAAAAATACAAAACTCAAACGTGTAGCTTCCATTCAATGACGTCTCCGTCGCGTCGTCTGTGTTGGCCATAAAACCTTATGGCTAACGTTCCAATAGGCCGCACACTCACTTCACTTGTTTCACTTCTTTTGCTTGCTGGTGTGCTACTCTCTACTCTCTCCTCTCCTCTCTTCTCTACTCTCCGGTATTTTTACCGCTCTCCTCTCGCCTGTCTTTCTTGGCCACTTGTCGTCGCCGCCATCGCTGGCGTACTTAGAACGCATAGAAATAATTCCCGTAGTTTATTTTTATTGTTGTAATTACACGTCTCCAAGTCAATCGAGAGAGCAGCGCTTTAACAGAGCCTACACACATATCTCTGCCTCTGACTTTGGTTCTGGCTCTGGTTCTGGCTCTGGCTCTGCTTTGAGCTCTTTTCTTACTTGACAACACTGCCTTTTTGCACGATCTCAAAGCCAAAGTGTGTGTGAGTCAGGCAAGCAATGAAAAAATATAAAAAAACAAGAACAAAAATTTAAAAAAACAACACAAGTAAAGAAAAACCGGTAAAGGCAAAGATATTTCGTGCGTGCTAATCACGAAGAGAGCAACGCGCTCGCACAATTGTTAGAACCGGCAGCACAGAGTTGGCCAAGAGTCATTAAGATGATTTTTGGTTTGAAAACGTGTTTTTGTGCGAAACCCCCCTCCCCCCCACAAAAAAAAAAAACAAAAACAAAATTCAAAAATATAAATAAATAAGCTGCAAAATCACAAAAAAAAAAAACAGAAATAATCACACAAGCAAAAAAAATTATTTACGCACTTGAGCCAAGAAGAGCACAAAGTATTCAAAGGCAAATTTTTTGTTTTGTTTCAGAGCCATAATTACAAATTACCACACAACAACAACAACAACCACATCAACAACAACAACAACAAAAAGTATTAACAACAACATTTAAAGCGGCAAAGTTACAAAACAAATATAATAAAGACAAAATTCAAATACATCTGCGAAAAGACAAAAGCAACAAGAACATCAACAACTTTTAACCACAATCAAAAAATTAAAAAAAAAGAAACAAAACCAACTTCACTTCATCTACTTCAACGACTTTGACTCGACATTTAATTGGTAATAAGAGCAAATTATTATTAAGTATTCATGCCCATTGTGTATTTTTGTTTCTTATTTTGTGTCATTTTGTTGTTAATTGTTTTGCGCTTCATTTAGTTTCTCTATTGTTTGTCCATCGTCGACCTTTTGGTTGAGTTTCAAGTTTGGCTTTGAATTGGCAAAAAAAAAAAAAGGAAAGGCAACTATAAAAATTATTATGGCAAAGAAAAAGTGACGCTAGTCTTATAATTTTCCATTGGCATTTTCGTTAACAAAATAAAATATTTATTATATTTTTAGCTGAAATTTTAATTTCCAAATGTAGCCATAACATTTTGTATTTTTCTTTATCATTCTCCCCAAAAACAAAAAAAAAAAAACAAAATACATCTAATTCTGACATTCGTCTTAATAATCTCGGAACATGTTATTTTTTCAACAAGCAAGCAAAATATCAAGAAATATAATTATAAATAAGAACAAGGCAACAATTTACAAAAAAAAAAAACCGAATCAACTGGTATTTTTCTGTACCCGAACCACTCGCTTTCCCACACCAATCCGAAAGAATCCCCAAAACAGAACCGAAACAAAACAGAAACTGAAACAGGAACAGAGCGCTTTGAAAAATAAACCATTAAACAACACGGCACAATAGGCAGCAAAAACCGAACAAAGTGGCAAATTGTTGTTAATTTTAATGATCTGTGTGGAAAATAGGCTCCCCAAAGAAGGAAACTAAATTTAACAAAATTTTTATTTCCGCCACTGAGCAACAGCAAACGTAAATCAAATTGCGAAATGCAAAATTAAGAACAGTATTATAAAAAAAGAAATACTAAATAAAAGTGGTGTACATTTTAGCGCCAACTTGGAAAGATTTTTAAATACTATTTACAAAGAAGTAAATTTATTTTAAATTAAATTAAATATATCGAATGAAAAAAAAAAATTGTTAATAATTCATATAGTGAATTGTATATTTTGTTGTTAATTTTGAGCGTAATTTGCAAGTGAAACTGGCAAGAAACACATTTTGGGTGTAGGGGAAAACCAATTAGGTATTAAACCGAACTCCCTCTCGAGAATACAGGTAGGCACTAGATTGGTCGCTAAGTGAGAGCAGACTTAGCACATAGAAACAGTAAGGTAAATAAAAAAAGGTGATATCACTTAAGAGAAAGCGGTCAAGGGTTAAAAGCAAGCATTTTTTGTGCTCCCCCAGCAACAGCTCCAGTCCCAACCTGAATGGAGGAGCTTTATATTTAGCGTCCTTTTTTTTTGTGTGAGTGTAAAATTTTGACGAATGCAAAGGTTGTTAAATTGAAATTAAGCATAAATATTTACAAAAGGCGGCAACAGCAATCCGATAAATAGCAACATATCATAAGAGGCAATGCAAACAATTAATTAGAATTTTTTAATTGAAGCTGAACTCAATCAAAAATTCAAAAAAAAAAAAAAAAAAAGGAATCTCGTTAAAACATCCCACAAAGGAAACAAAAATCAAATTCAAATATATATTTAAATCTGTGTGTGCGTGTTTCTTTAATATGTCTATATCTATCTAAATTGGTAACTGAATTTAAACAGCAGTCAATTGTAGCGAAAATCACGTTAAAAAAGAAAAAAATAGCATTAAAAACGGTGTCAATCAGAAAAGACGATTTTTCCCATTAGCTTTTGACTAATTGTAGTGAAGTTGCCTACGTTTTTACCGAGCATATATGTAGGTAATTTTTTTTAGGATTAAACGTAGAAATCGCTGGGCTTTGATGCTCCGATCGACAAGAGTACGCGTTTTGACAATCACAAGAAATTAGCGTATATATTTAGGGCCGAGTTTGAGAAGCAGCAATCAAAGCATTCAATAATCAGGCAGTAATCAGAGCATTATACATATATATTTAGCATATATATACACACTTCTCCATATATTTATATTTATAAAGAACTTTTTCGCAACTTTTGCTCCCATCAACTCAATCGAACCTCAAACTACAAAACTTTAACTTAAACGACAATCTCTAATGCAATTTCCCCTAACTTAAGGCTTAATCAAACAGTCAATCAATCAAACTCTAAACAATCTTCAAACGGTTTTCAAAACTTTTACTCTATACACTTTACATATACATATAAATATCTATACTTATACATCTAAATCGAAATCAAAATATACATTCTTATACACAGAATATACATGTCTAATTATCTCAATCTCAGTAGTGATATATCATAGACATATACACATAGCGCTATAGAGTGCCCATACATAATAGACAATCTGCAGGCTAGTAAGGAACTTCAAACTACGCTCAAATACAACTCAGTATATATACTTAATATAAAAACTTGTTAGAGTAAAGTAATTTAAATGTGTTTCAAACTCATTTAGATAATAGTCTGTAATCTCAGCACTTGGCAACAATTTGCGTAATTCTTTTGAACACAATTGGCATTCGAATCAAAATTATACAATTGGCATAGATATACCCACATATATATATGTGTATATATATATATATCATACAAGTATATTCGACAGTAAACACAAGCACAAAACTCGAACACCCAAAACCAAAACCCGTGCAATTCCCCCAACAAGAAAATACCAAATAAATTAAAAATAAAAAATACCCAAAAAAAATATAATAAATAATAAATAAGAACAAACTGAAGGCAAAAACGCTACGCAACTGAACAAGAAAAAAACAACAACAAAAACAACCAAAAAAAAAAAGTGCAGAAATTAGAAATTTTTCAATCAACATTTGTTGCCAATAAAACTGTCATCATTGCCGCGTTAACAGAAACCACGGCGTCAGCAGCGATTGCCGCGCTCAGTATCAGCAGCAGCTCTCAAGCGTCGCTTGCCGCCAGCGCCACCGCCAACGCAAACAGCGCCGCACCGCCGACAGTTGCAGTCAGCGCCGCCGCCGCCGCCGCCACCGTTGCAGCAGCAGCAGCAGCAAGTCCGTCGCCGCCGTTAACGGTAAAAAGCGAAATCGTTGCATCTGATTCAACAGCCGAGTCCTCCCCTATACAAGATTTAATCATGGTAAGCGTCGCCCACATCCTAACAACAAAAAAAAAAAAAAAAACCAAAAAATATAATAAAAATGCACAAGAAAATGCACTTGAAAGAAACGCAATGAACAAATTTGATAATTGACAAAAAAAAAAAAAAAAAAAAAAAAAAGATACACACAGTTGACGAAAGTTGAGTTGACCCATTGAAAATTGAATCGAACGTTTCGTTTTTGTTAATATCGTACATATAATTATAATTAAATAACAATACAATCGAATCGAATCAAATTAACTACTTATATAATCCTCATCAAAGAAAGTTGTACAGTTTATTATGCAAAACCAAACTATTCCTATTCTACTGCCTACTCATATTTTCTTTTTAGTTTATTTTAAAGTTACATACTTACTATCATCTCTACCACTTAACTGTCTATAAGTATATTAGTTACGAGCTATGCGAACAAGAAATCAGAAATCAAATGTCAATGGTAAATTACCTCATAAATCATATGATATATATATCACTTAAGAAAACGTTAAGTTAATCTACATAGATATTCCACTTCCGCCTCTGCGCAGCTGACCAATACTTTAGTTTAATTACATATGTATCTGTCTTGTTCAATCTGTTTTACTTTTATACATAGTTAATTTTTATTATCATCCACTTAGGAATCTTGTACATACACTTAATGCGTTGCATAAGCTATCTGTAAAAATAACTTCAAAATATCTAGTTTTGTCATTTAAGGAGAAATTGTCGATCTGCTCGTTGCAGGTAAATAATTTGTTGAAGCTTTATAATTTCTTGCGTTTAATTGGTTTCCTATTGCCATTGACATTAAAATGAGGCTTAAGGGCAAATAACTAATTGAAGTTAGTGTATCTAAAAATAAATGATTGCTGGTGATAAAATAAAAAATAAAAACCCGCATGGCCTGTGGACGATTCTCCCAGCTTCTCTTTCGCTCTGATGTGCGCAGGCTGTGAATGGGAGAAGAAAGTGTTCGTTAGCTCGTAAACTGAGACTTATATACGCAAATGCTATCCCGAGTTCTGGTCTTGAAACTAGCTACTTACCTACTTCAACTTCTTTTTCTATTCTATGCTATTGCTATGCCTATCTTATAATCTGCTTTATTTATTCTCGATTCTTGCTCTCTCTCTCTCTCTCTCTCTCTCTCTGTCTTTTCTCTGTCGCTCACTGATCTAATGTAGTTTTAACTATCTATGCTCTATACGAACTCTATATGCTATATAACACTTAGTCACTGCTCTCAGTTTTACTACTACTACTACTACTACTACTACTACCACTACTACTATTACTGCTACAACTCTACTGCTAAATTTGCCACCTTTTTACTGCTTCCAATGCGATGCAACTTTGCAAAACTCCTACCCGAATCAGCTTTGTAGTGGAATCTGAATATTTATAATTTACCCAAATAGACGAGGCACGGTCTGTGCAATGGCGAATCTGCGGAACTGAGGAGTTGCTCTGCTCCTATTTTGATTTGCTATGAAAATACTTTATGAGTTCTTACCAAATTCATTTTTCGTTTATACGAATATTTTTGCTTTGCCAATTGGGGCTGCGTTCAGTTTTTTCTTTATCGGTTATTGTTTGCCAAAATCAGCCAAATAACAAAAAATGTCAAAACCAAACTGAAACTCAAACTTCAAATAGCCCAACAAAAATATCGAGAATAATCTGAATTGAGCATAAATTCACACCACGCACAGCAAATGCAACTGTTGCAAGCACCGCCGCCCACGCATCCGCATCATCTGCACCTGCAGCATCCAGCAGCTGCCGCTGCCGCCGCCGCAGCCGCAGCAGCGAGCGCATATCAGGCGTATCCAACTGGCGCCACAACTGCCATGTTGCAGCAGAGCAACGTCGTCGCCGTCCAGCAACAACAACAGCAGCAGCACCAACAACAACAACAACAGCAGCAGCAAGCAATGCTGATCCATCAGCAGGCGGCTGCTGCTGCCGTCGCAGCACAACATCAGCAGCAGCAAGCACACCAGCAACAGCAGCAGCAGCACCAACAGCAATTCCAACTGCAGCAACATCAGGCCCAACAGCAACAGGCCGCCGCCGCACAGCAGCAATATCACTATCAGCAGCAGGCTCAGGCACAGGCCATGTTGCAGACATATATGCAACTGCAGGTTAACAATGTCGCCGCTGCACCGGCCACGCCCACCAAATATGGGTCGGCTGGTGTGCCGCCCGCTGGTGCCGCACAGTATTTCGCAGCGCCAACCACACCGCTCACAATCATACCGGCCTGCAATGGAGCGGCCGCTGTTGCCGCTGCCGCCATGTTTGCGACAGCCGCCACGCCCACCTCGGCGGCGACCACTCCGAACAACAATGTAAATAATACAGTTAATCTATGTGATGTAACTAGAACTACTACCAAATCTACCACCAATACTACTACTAAGCAGCCCGCCGCAGCTGCCCCCATCGACGTTGGCCTGTCGTTCGGCGACGGCGGCGTTCGCTCGCTGGTCTCATTGCTGGGACCGCCGCCGCCGTCCGCACAGGTCGGCGCCGTTGGCAGCAGCAGCGGCAGTAGCGGTTGCAGCTCTGCATCTTCTGATTGTTCTATGCCATCGCCAACTTCACTACACTTATCTTCTCCTAAAAAGGTTTGTGTGTTCACTAAAACGCTAACAAAAAAAAAAAAAAAAAAAAAGACACAAAAAAAAAAGAATTCATTGCATTTCCAATGAATAACAAACAAATAATCTCTGCTTTTTTTCAACACTCATTTTTTTTCACACACTCGAGTAGTTTTGATATTTTCCAAATCTCTCTCTCTCTCTCTCTCTCTCTCCCATTTTCTGCGTGCCACTTTTGTATTAGAATTAATAACTTTCCGCCTACAATCACATTAATTAATTAAGCGATCTTATTAAACACACAGTACCATCTAGAACTCCCTCTCTCCCTCTCTCTATCTCTCGATCTCTGTCTTTCTCTCTTTATCTCTTTCTCTCTCTCTCTCTCTCTCTCTTTACTACTGCTTAGCTATTCCTGAACTTCATTTGATGTTGTGTTCGTATGCAAAACTAAAGTGTTACTGTTGTTGTAGTTGCTGTTAATAATAATTCAAATTTATATTTACATATCTGTATGAAATTAGTTTTAAATGGATCAATTTCTAGCTAGTCTTAAGCCATTCATTTTTAATTCATATTCACAGCGTATAATTTGCAACTTGCATACAAAACAATCTGTTTGGGTTCCCAGCCAAATCTATTTAGTAAAACAACAACTGGCTCACAATTCTTTACCTACGAATAATTGAATGCAATTTAATTACTATCTATATGTAACTCAAACATAGATACATATGTATATATATATATGCACACACACATCTATATGTATATATATATATATAAATCTAATTGTTTGATATTCGATTTGTCCTTTTGCCCTTTTATTATCCAACTTCATTTTGCTGCCCTTTGTTTTTGCCAGTTTTTTTTTTATTTATTTTTTTTATTATCGTTGAGCAGTTTCGCACACGTACATCATAGGTATTTGTGTTGGTGCTGCCCATCGATGGGCGTGACACTGTGCGACTCAATTGTGCGTAATAAAATAATGTGCAACCGCTTGACCATGCGACTGGCATACTGATGAGCACTCCGACAACTCTGTGGGGTCGTGAATATATTTATAGCAGATCCCTTTTATTTTTATTCTGTATTCTGTATGTTTTTTGTTTTTGTTTTCTATTTAATTTGACCTGCCTGGGCAAACAGTGGCAGAGTCGCAGTGCCTAAGTGAGTGCCACACGTCAGATGGTGCATGTTGCGTTCGCTTAAAGCTCGCATCTTTAATGGCAATTAGTTATGATTTTGGACAAATTACTGGGTGGTTGAGTCTTTCTTTCTCTATGCTGTTGCAATCGTATACAATCGTGTTAAATGCATTGCATATCAACTTTGTGCCTCAATGTTGCCTTCGTGCTGTGAGTTCGCTGTGCTCGCTTTATTATTATTTTATCAGTCATAAATATCTCGCACATGCGAGCATTAACCGCAATTGTTTGGCGTGCACCAACTCATCGACGTGGCAGCCGCCGAACTCAGCTCGCAGTGAGTGGGGCCATATGTCGCCTATATTGATTAGTTGACGTTGAAAATGTCGCTGCAAGTTGTTAGAAGCTCTCTGCACATAAAAACTGTGGCCAGCTGCCACTGGCCTCAAGCCATTCTGCTTGCCACCATTGGGCTAGTGGTTAAATGTTTTTAGTTGCATTTACTCCTCGGTGGCAACTTCATGTTGCCTGCCGCCTTTTTGTGGTTGTGCGTGTGTTTTGGTCACATTTTTGCCTCTGTCCATTTGCAGTCATTATCGATTTGTTGTGCACACATACGGGACGAGGTCGTATCCTGGCTGTCACAATAGCGCGAGTCGTTAAAGTTTAAACTGCACCTAAATGACTCTATTATAAGCCGTCCGCAGAGTAAACAAACAAACAATTGCATTGGCGTCCACGTTAAATTATCTGTAATTGATTTTGTTTATCAGACAACCGTATAAATCGCCCAACCACTGACTACTCCCCTTCACATCTCACATCTCACTCTCTCTCGCTTTATCTCTCTCTGAGTCTCTGTCTCTGTCTCGTCCCCCATGCTGTACCGTCACATCCATTAACCCTTTTTTGCGCTGCATTTATTCTGCACCCGGCTAATACCAGAGCCATCAAATGCTGACAATTGGCGGAGAGGGCACAGATGGAAAGTATGGAAATATGTTTTGCGTTTTGTTGTTATTACATAATTTTGAACATGATGCGCAACAGAATGCTGTTTTTGGCATTGTTGTTTTTGCAGCAACATGCAAATGTTATAAATACGGCAAATATTGTAAATGTTTTACAATGCAAATGTTTCAACAGCAAAAAACAAGCACTCTACATAAATCAAATGAATTTATATTTATAAATGTTTTTCGCTAAGTCAGTCAACTGCCCGAACGAAATATTCAAAATACTGGCAAAAAAAATGTACAAATAAATATTGCATTCCCAATTCTGGGAATTAAAAAGTAAAATTCTTAACTGAATTCATTTTACTTCAAATGGAAAATGTGGGAAAGTAAAGTGTTGTTAATTACAAGAAAGAATAGGTTGGGAAATGTCAAATGTTTGATGATATTTCATGTGAGTAACAGGAAACTATGTAGCCAAGTGTGGTAAATGCATTTGAATGCAACTCAGCCACACATCCGAATTCCAATTCAACATCTGTCAAAGCAATTGTATCACACCCAACAATTGCATTGGTGTCGACGTTAAATTATCTGTATTTGATTTGGTTTATCAGACAACCGAATAAATCGAGCAACCATTGAATATATATTTGGCATCGCTTGAAGTCATTGTCGCTTCACATTCAGTAAATATTTTTGACAAAAATGAGCAAACTGTCGGTGTGAATGTAAAAATGTATAATGCGCATGCAAAAACTCTGATATTGCCTTAAGTGCTAATAAAATCTGTGTTCAGCACTTGGGCTTTAGGCCACGCACAGTTGGCAAACAAACGAAATTGCGTTTAATGCACGCAATTTTAATATTATGCCCGAATTTCACTTTGTGGCTAAAAAACAAATAAGCCACGAATAGAAAAAATGAATATAAACAGCCAGAAGAACAAAGTGTCAAAGCCACGGCAAAGGCATCGCTGGCTGGCTTTGAACTGTGATTGTGCGTGTTGGAAGTGTGTAGGAGGCTTAGAGATGGATTGGGGTGTGGAATGTGGGCTAGTCTGCACTTCTAATAAGCCGACGTCCAACTTAGAAATGCACAAATAAACTTTTTAAATTTAAAAATTCATCAAACTTTGAAGCGCCTGTCAAACAAATAGCCCGCGGAGGGGTCAGCGACAGACCTTGCATATAAGTTAACAAATCGCGTACATAAAGTGTGCTCCACCATAATATAAAGTAAAAAAAAAAATATGTAAAAAATAAAATAAACACAAACTGGGAAATAAAAAAAATAAAATAAAATTACATTAATCCGTAATCGGAAAACTTGGGCATCGAAAACACGGCGTAAAAGTTTTCCGGCTGCGTAGAAATTTACAAGAAAATGTATAATAAGCGATTTACAAGCAAGAAAATATATAAAAAACGAGTTTTCTAACTAAAATTTCAATTATTTTGGCAAACAGAAATAAAATAATTTGAAATTTAAATGCACTAGACGCGCCTGTCTCCCATAAATAGGGCAAAGACAATCTGTTGCCCAGTTTAAGGGCGACAGGTCGAGATTGCCAAGAAATGTGGAATGTAGACAAGGAAGGAAGTGCAGGAGGAGTAGGGCTACGACTGACAATAAGGGGGCCAACAACACGCACATCAAATTGAGATGAGAAAATAAAATTCAATAAACTCTTGTTAAGCACGCAGCGTCCAAGACGAGCATGGGGTGAATTTCGGCAGCTGTAACAGCGACAAGGACAACGTTTTAAATATTGACAGGCAATCCCCTTTGCCCCCCCCATCCAACACTGCACGCAAAGAAAAAGTGAACTGACTGAACGGCTGTTGCGGGTGGTGGTCCCTGCGACGACGAAGACTACAACAACAACAACAATAACAATAACAACAAAGTTGTCGATTAAATAGATAAATCAACCCTAGGGACATGTACATCAGAACATTTTTGCATTGATCAAAAGCTCGACTCGCCCAGCTGGAGCTCTCTATAAATGAGGTGGACAGGAGTGGAGAGGAGGGGTCATATGCTTAGGCATTGTTATGATTTGTACAGCATTCAAGCAAGGAGAAGCAATCACAAATCCATCGAATGGGCCATATCGATTTTCGGCTATTGAAAATCATATCCCTGTCACACAATTAGAGTATGTGAGTGCCACTGGGTGTGTATGAGTCTATCGAGTGCCACATTTTATACAATTGCGCTAATCAGTCGAGGGATGTGTGTGTGTGAGTGTGTGTGGGAGAGTGGGTGTGTACGTTGAGTAATAGTCGAGTAAATATAACTAGAACTGCAAGTGGAAGGCAAACACATTTCTTGACTGTCGCGCTGTCGCTGCCAAACAAATTAAAAAGTTATGACTAAAAGCGTTTGGCTTAAATGAAATTGGCGCTCGCTTAGCCAACTCACAAATGCCGCTGGCCAAATTTAAATTGCTTTTGTTGCTCTTTTGTAGTTGAATGCATTTCACAACGGTTGCTGTTCTTGTTGCTGCTTCTGCTGCTGCTGCTGCTGCTGTTGATGCTGCTGTTGATGATGATTTTCCTTTTTGTGCGCAAGTTTTCTTTGTTGTTAGCACAAATAGTTTTTTGTCGCCATAGCCATAAAAAATAGGAGATTTCCT